AGAGAGAGAGAGAGAGAGAGAGAGAGAGAGAGAGAGAGAGAGAGCATTCTAGTCTACCTAAGTACCTCAAATCTTCATACATGGCTTATTTACATCCAATGTATGCCAATTCAAATTTGTGCTTGACATCAAAGTCACGTGCGGCTCAAAATCAACCCTGGCCCCTCTCTTTAAGCGGAGGCTGCAGCCCTGCATACAGGCAAGTCCTTCTCTAGGTTCGGAGGCGCCGCAAGAATTGGATTGCTCTCAAAGAAGTTGACAGGCTTGAGATCAAAACTAGAGGAAACCGTCGGCATTATAGGAAAATCCTCTTGGCAAGGGACATGGTGAAATCCTAGAGTGTACCATAACACGATGTCCTTGTTCTCTATCGATCGGTCCCTGTATAATATAACCAGCATATCCGAGTTTGAGTTGAGCGATATATCGATATAAAGTACATCGGTTTATAGATCACATCCAACGGTATGGATTTGAATACCTGTTCGACCAGACCGCTAGATTGTCTTCGCCTTTGTTTTGATAGACGAACAGTCCTCCCGCCCATTCCTCGCTCTTGTTATAGGGCGTGACCCATATCTAGGGGGGGCGAAAAAAGGCGGGGGAAAAACGATTATCGCGAACACGTTATGAATCAAATGTGTATCTATAGCTACAACCGAAATAAACCAAACAGCTGCAACTGTAGTTATATACGCAATCATTACCTGATTGTTTGTGAACGCGCCTCTAAGCTGAGGCGGATCATCCGGGTCGAGCAGGCTGGCGGCTGTGCCCGCAGGAACGACCTTATACCCGACCGGGTTCCCGACCCGGGTCGTTCTGCCCGGATTCACGACGTGGAACTCTTTCGGCTCATACAGCTTGAGCCTGATCTGTGCGTCCTTCTCCGTCTTGACCGTCTGCTTACTCGCCTTGAGATAGCTAGTCCTCGGGGACTCCCCGGGGCTCGTGTATTGGCGGGTGAGGTTGACTTTGACGAAGGAGTTGGCGGACCCGTCGACGTCGAGGTCGAGGTAGAACGTGACGTAATGGTCGTGGATTACGCCGATGAGGTTCTCGGAGAGGATCGTGCCGTAGAGGTCCTCGTCGGGTTTGGCTTGGTTCGTGTGGGTGTAGGGCGTTCCTTTTACCATCAGGATCCCGCTTAATGCGACCTGTTTTAATGTAATTTCGTGAAATGTTTTGGGTGTTTTCTTAAATTGATTTTAGTGAAATAAGTCGCATAATCAAAGGGTCAGAGATCCTTTACATTCTGCGTTGTAGACAAATTCTCCGACTTTGTTATTAACATAAACGCTGAGAAATATATTTACTGTGTGGGCCTTATGAGTGATATTGTTTATCTAAATCACATGAAATATTTTTTTAATTGTGAGACTCGCGAAGTGAAACAATATTACCACCATAACTAATAGCAGAATTTCCCTGTAAGGGGCTGTTTGTTTTGCCAAAAAAAAATGATGAAAATATGATTTCCGTGTCCTAACTTCATCTCCACGTCAATTTTTTATTTCCATGTATTTTCGTTTCAGGTGTTTTGTTCACTGAGGGTTTTCAGGGAAATAGGGATAAAAAATGGTTGCCACGCTAGAAAAGTGGGAAATCCCATTTCAGACCCAAAAGCCTCTGAAATGGGCTGGAAATAGAGTTTTTAGCATTAAAATATTGACCCACTCTCGTTTTGAGAAGTAAAAATTGAGGAAATCAATATATTTTGTCGGGTTTCAAGCTTTAAAAAAAAATGAACCAAACAATAAAAATGAAAACATGACATTTCCACCCTATCATTTCCATGCAAAACAAACACAAAAAATCTATTTCGTTGAAAACCTCATATATGCATTGAAATTGATTTTCAACACTATTTTCCTCTTCTTTTTTTTTTTTTTTTTTTGAAAGATAACAAACAGCCCCAAATGACAAAAATATTTCAGATTTTCAAAATTTTGAACACCTCGTATCCGTGATGCGATGAATTTACTTTGATGAGTTGATAAGACCATTCACTGTATGGTTCATCAAATTTGAGTGGAATAATTGCTAGTACACGTCACATGTACCAAAAGGGTCTTTGTTTCTTGGATCATGATGTGACATCTTATCTTTCGTACTAGAGGCGTTCATACTTTAATGAAACTTAAAGTGAGACCTTTTTTTTATGTATAATCAATGATAGAGAAATTCACATTTGAAGCTAATAACATATAACTATATGAGAAGGACTTTTCTGACCTTGACCCGAATTAATCCATCAGTTTGAAATTCCCAATCCACGATATAATCATAGTTCGCCACCGAAGCTGCCATCCTCGCCACAAGCGTCACCTTTGGCCTCGCTTCTCTTATCTGCTCACAAACAAGACGTCCTTTTATCTATTACTTTATACAAATGAGAAAACCCAAGATTCACTGTTCATGCTACTTACAGTTGTATTTACTATAACAAACATAAAACTAGAAATAACAATTTTTTGAAAATAAAAATGATAGAGGCACACCACCGGACACACCCTCGGCCACACCCCCTCTCCTGCTACAGCGCAGGAGGCCCACATGTGATTTAAAAAAAATCTCATGTGGGCCCCCCCTGCACTGTAGCAGGAGAGGTGGTGTGGCTGAGGGTGTGTCTGGTGGTGTGCCTGTAACGCTCCCTTTTGAAAAATGTTAGTGTATCACACGGGGAAAACTGTAGCAGTGGTGGGATACTGTAGCAATTTAAAAAACAAAAAACTGTAGCAGTTAAATCGGGATTACTGTGGCGAAGAAAAAAAGTATGTCGTGCTTTGTACGGTGTTCACACTAATTATTATTAATTAGCATGTAAAACAACGAAACGAGTGGTTTGCAGAGAAGCCAGATCAACGTAAAATCCTACCTCCATTCCAGTAATTGGGCTCTCGGAGTGCCTCCATCCGACGTCTCCTGCATACCTCTCGAAAATACACACCATATTTGACCTGACGTACGGTTTCCCATTTCCCGCTACAAACACCCCGTCCATATAATATGCGTTCCTCGGACAGTCGTTTAACGGTACCAAAGGCATCGATTGCAACCCGAACCCGTATTCGCCAGCATCCATGTACGTCTTAAAATACCAAGCGTCGGTAGGATCCATGTACGGTACGAACAGCTCCGAAGCAAAGCCTTTGTACATAACCTCTCTCCTCTCACCCGTATCCGGGTCCGTTACCCTCACATCCGAAACGATCACCCCGGCTCTCGGGTCAGGCTTGAGATGAAACTCCCACCCGGCCCATTTGACCTGGTGCCCGTCGACCACTTCAAAACTCGGGCCCAAGGGTTGCTCGATCGAGATCGGGTTCAAGGGTCTGACCCGTGCGGGCTGCTTGTTTTTGCTTGTGACTTCGTAACGGTAGTCTGTATTCGACGGTTTGGCGATGGGGATGTCTCGGCCTTCATCTACAAACTCAACGACCTCTTTCGTGTCGATGTCGAGGAGGACGGTGAGGCCCTCGATGGGCCGCATGTAGAAGTTGGCCGTGCCTTCGGCGGAGTAGCATTGGACTTTGATTAGGCGCCTTGTGTCTTCGACTTTACGCCGGTACCTGTTTCAAAATAGAATTAGTGGGTATTAAGCAGAAAGTTACGGATTCGGATCCTCTCCACTACAAAAAAAAACAGTGGAGGGACCACTACATAATCACGGCCATTGATTATCTAGTTAATGGTTGTGATTTTATCTTATAGTGCAAATTAGGAATGAGTGCAATACACGGGAGTATGGTAAGTGTTAGATTTAGATTGTATCATAACCGCCTACTAAATAATCAACGATTGATATTAAAAGCAGTGGTCTCTCTACTATTTTTTTGTAGTGGAGAGGATCCAAATCCGAAAGTTACAACCAAACTAACCCAACAACTTAAGCTATAAGATGTTAGCCCAAGTTTTACTTAAGTCTATCACTATTTTCAACTTTTCCAATATGAAATTGTATT